TAGAAACTATAACCCCTTCACGTCCCATGACAGGAAAAAGGGGGTAAAACGGAAAAGCCGCCGGGACTCTGTTCAGATTTGTAGAGCCGGCGGCCGGCTTTACAGTAGAAGCGATTCTACGATTCGCCCCCCTTGCCCGACACCCCCGCCGTGTTTCCCAGGCTCCACTGCCCCTCCTATGGGACCGGCATCTCAGGTGTCGGTGGGAATCTGGGGAGGAGAGCGGCGAACGTCCATTCACCGATCTCCTCCCTGTTCTATGGTATTGGGAGCGATGCCTATTGCATCACTTCCGGTCCCATAGCTGTCATAGCTCCTGAAGCCCAGCAATAAGCTATTTAAGTGTGATCTGCAATTCAATGGCTTATTTAAAGTAGAAAAGTGACAGTAAGGGTCTTTTGGACCCCCAGTATCATCTTAAAGAGGACCTGTCACCACCAATATGCTATCACATAGGGGGATTAAAAGCCCCTCTATGTGATAGCAATTAAAATAAAGTTTTTAAAAAAAACTGTTTAAAAAATAATATTAAATACATGAAATGTAAAAATAATTTTAATTTTTTTTAAGTCCCCGCCCCCGCGAGCAAGCCGTCGTCACCTAAACACACATCAGGTGTGCCTACGTAGGAAAACGACGATGACGACTCATGCTGAGGTATCGCTGCACATGCTAGAATGTGAGCAATAATTCTAGGGCCAATATTTATGAGTATCTCTAAACTGATGACCTGTAGGGGCTTTTTAAAGCGTCGTGTATGGACTTTTTGGGGTACTGAATTCTGTCACAGTTTCAAGGACCCATGCAATTTTTAACCTTGGGCATGTTGGGTATCTATTTACTCGTTGTAACCTCATATTTGATATTTTACAACATTGTTTTATATAGTGTTTTGGGGCATTACATTTAACTTAAGTGCATTTTTCACTACATTTGTGGGTTTGATAATAAGTTGCGCTTTCAGAAAATATATAATATTTGTGGGTTTTACGTAATTTTCAGGCCTAAAATGTGGATTACATCATGTAAACAAAAAAATTTAAAAAAGGCCTTTGTCCTTAAAGTGACATTAAACCCTCAGATTTTTTAACATAAAACAATACTGTAATGTGCGCCTTACTGTAATCCATGGTTGCTTCCCTTCTCTTTGCTGCTCTTCCTTTTAAATCTGTATCTGTTCTCATGCTGGGCAGAACTTCTGTTTTGCAGCAGACTGCCTCGTCTCAGGAATGGATACATGGTTTGTAATCTGAGCCAGCACTACAGGAAGAGGCCCTGAGCTGCAAAGGGAAGTTCTCCCCAAGCATGAGAAGACATGAGGATTTAAAAGGAAGAGCAGCAAAGAGAAGGGAAACTACCATGGATTACAGTAAGGCACACATTACAGTATTGGTTTATGTTAAAAAATCTGAGGGTTTAATGTCACTTTAACTACTTTAAGGGGATAAACACAGGAACTGGGGCCTAGGGCTAGGAATACACAGTTCCTTAGGCCAAGAGTGCTAGTCTGAGCATAGTTTAAAAAGAAAGGTAAATTGGGAGGCTGGGCAGGAAACACACTGGGGGGGAATTTATCAAAACTGGAACAGACAGAATCTGGAGCAGTTGCCCAGGGCAGCCAATCAGCTTTTATCTTCAGTTTGTTCAGTTAAGATTTGAAAATGAAAGAGTGATGCTGATTGGTTGCCATGCACAGCTGCTCCAGATGTTGTCTGCTCCAGTTTTGATAAATCCTCCTTACTATATTTAACAGCTGGTGAGATGTGGCAATGCCTAAAGCATCCAGACCAATACAGCACTGCAAATGGTCTCACCTGGTCAAATGGTCTAAAATAGAGCCCTATTGTGCCTTGCACATAACAAAGTATATAGGAAAATTGTGACAATTCAAGCCATACACCATTAAGCGAGACACACGTTTTTGGCCACACTCACTTTTGGCCAGACTCTTATGTGTGCAGCAGCCGGCGCACTTTGTCTGGGCCATTACTCCTCTCAACCCCTCAAGGTGCCCAGCACAATTGTTTTCCAAAGGCTGGCAACTATGTGTGTCCCTGTAAGGATTTCATTGCAATTTTATGTTGTAACAAATCAAGGAGGCATTGACAGCACTTGCAGAAGTGGTGTTAGTGGGAGGAGAGCAATAACAAGCTATGACAATGGAGCAACAACAATAAAACCCTGAGAGAACACTTCCTACTGAAACTGGCAGTCAGGGACTGTACATGCTTGAACCCAGTTTTAGGCCAATATCAAACCAGGCAAATTGCATGATCGTGTGGCATATTCCAGATTGGTTGTCACTTTATGACAAAATTACAATAAATACCTTAAAGGAGAAGTTAAGCCAAGTAATTTTTGGGCTTTACTGATGTACTCCTGTGACCCAAAATCAGCATATAGCAGGCTACTGACCGATGTCTGCTGACCGTGAAGAGCCACATTGCAGCCGGGAAGAATCCCAACCAAATTGTTGTGATCTACCCTGCTGCCGGATTGACAACTGGCTCGAGAGCTAGAGCCAGCTTTGTTTGCCCCTCCCCTGTTTGTCTCTCCAGTGAGCGCTGGAGCAGCAGAGAGGGGAGGGGGGAATCCTGGTGGGGATTGGTGACCGACAGCGATCTGCATGGAGTTCCGTTTTCCATGCCATTAGAAAATGGGCACTTGCGCGCATGCACGCCTTCCCGCGGACCGGCCGCAAAAAAGCGCACCAAACGCGCACAGGAAGTGACACAATGGGCTGATGGATCTCTCTATTTAAGCTCAGGCTGCCTGTCTCCAAATTGCTAGATTGTCTTTCAGCTCCCCTGTAATTCCTTGCTTTGTATTGCCAGACTTCTGACCCGGATTTGCTATTTGACCAATCTTGTTTGCTGCCTGCCCCTTGACCTTGAAACATTATTCCCGGACTTTGCCTCTGCCTCATCCTTTTGTTCCTTGCTTGCCCGACTGGTGTGACCTTGGCTCGTTTGACCTTGATTACGGATCTTGCCCTGCTCTGCAACCATCATCTGGACTCCAGCTTGCACGGTGTTACCACCACTGGCACCCATGCCACTCGCTGTCTGCTTGGACTCTGTCCCCAACTCCAGAGTCCTAGGGACATGAGGTGCAATGGGGGCCTCCTCACACATTCAGTCTCCAACCAGGTACGTGACAGACAGTCACTGCTCTCTGCAGGGAGAAGACTGTAAACTGAGCAATCAGCAGTTACGTGATCTTCAGCTCTTGGTATCAAGCCAGTGTTGGACAGCTGCAGTGTTCCATGCCATCTCCAAGAACTGGGAATAGTATATTTTATTATCTTGGTACTTCTCCTTTAAACAAATCATTATAAAGAAAAAAAAGGGGAAAACTATAATATTGAAAATCCCAGTTCTTTAAAGAAAACAAACTAAAGGCCATTCAAAAGAATGAAACTATCAGCTCTAAAACAAATATCACTTTGCTAACTGATCTTCATGTTTCATAATCCCATAGATTGATCTTTCTGGTTGTACAGGGATCAATCGATTAAAACCCAACTTTGGCTAGAATAATATTACTAGCTTTAGAGGTGTCTGCGTGTCTTCACCTCAGGTGTGTAACAGTGCCCTAAAGGTTTTCCTACAACTACTTTAAAAGAGATCCATTTAATTTTCCTGAACTCCCACTGTATTTCTGGCCTGCTGCCAACACAAGCACTGATAGACTGATAGATAGACATCAGCACTGGCGTCCTGTCTCAGTCCCTCTCCCCGCATAACCATTCAGAAAACGCTTGGCAACAAGATACATTTTGTGAATGGCCCAGTGGAAAGGGGGCAGCGAAACAATAACTTCAACACAAATTAGGTAAAGTACCTTTAAAGCTAGTAAAATGATCATGTCTGGAGTTTGGCTTTAAGTAGTTAAAGTGACATTAAACCCTCAGATTTTTTAACATAAACCAATACTGTAATGTGTGCCTTACTGTAATCCATGGTAGTTTCCCTTCTCTTTGCTGTTCTTCCTTTTAAATCCTCATGTCTTCTCATGCTTGGGGAGAACTTCCCTTTGCAGCTCAGGGCCTCTTCCTGTAGTGCTGGCTCAGGTTGCAAACGTACACACAGACACTATGTAGCCATTCCAGAGACAAGGCAGTCTGCTGCAAAACAGAAGTTCTGCACAGCATGAGAACAGATACAGATTTAAAAGGAAGAGCAGCAAAGAGATACATAATGTATCTATTCCTGAAAAAAGAATGTTTCAGTTTGCTGATCGTTGTTGCAACAATCAGAAAAACTGAACTGCTGCAGGATCAGTGTCACTAACTTATTATTGGCTGTTCTGAAGTTTGAAGCAACCTGATAATAACCAAAAATTTATTAATTTATCAAGCAGTAATAGTGAGATTAATTCACAATGATTGCTTGATATAATTAAATAAATAAAATAACATTTTTACGTTTAAAAAAAAAGTGAAAAGTGTAAAAAAAAAAAAAATGTGTTAAAAATAATAAAAATAAGGGACAAATAAATGAATGTATTTATTGCATTTTTTTTTTTTTTTTAGCCGTGCTGGTTTTGTAAAAAAAATACTACAAATCAAAACTTTTTTTTAACGTTTTTTCCTCGTTTTTTATTTTTTATTTGTCCTAAGTGAGGCGTTAGACACACATATGTGATATAAATATATAGCCCTATCTGTCCTCTAAAAAACAATATATAATATGTGTGGATGCACTTTGTAAGAAAGTATATTACTGACGTGGAAGAATCGCACAGCAAAAATGTCAAAAGTGTGTCAGTCATTTACGAACAGAAACTAAAAACAAGCTCAGTCATGAAGAGGTTAAGCATGGCATCATTTTTGGTAAGTTCTCTGTATGCAGTCATCTTATGCCAATAAGTCATGTTCAAAGTCAAAGTGTGCACATTCATAATACATGTGGCCATCTTAGCAGCCAAAAGTTAAATTTGGTAAATAACTGTATGAATTTATTGAGACAAACATATGATGTATTTTTTTTTATTTCTAGGATGCAAAATTTGTGGAGGAACGACGGAAACAACTACAAATCTACTTAAGAAATGTCATGAACAAAGTCATACAGACATTGCCAGATTTTGTTGCCAAACCAAACAAAGAAAACCTGACACAGATCATGCCTTTTTGTGCATAAGTGTTGGTCTTAATTTTTAATTTTGTCTTTCCAACATACTATTATTAGTTCATCTGTTGCACAGAGGTGTGCACCTGTTCTTAGTAACTTAATAGTGCAGCTTAAGATTTCTCTCAAGATTATAAAGATTGACTGCTATGGCCTCTCCTTCCTTCCAACTATGTTTTTTTTTTTTTTTTAACAGATTGGAATGAACAGGCTTTATAGATGCTATACAGTCCATGCATTGCCCCACTATCAACCTTGGATCAGCAGCATTTGGAGGATGTAACTTAAATCTACCTATAGACGGCAGTCATAACAATTCTTGTGTATTCTATGCAGGACCGCTGTTTGCTTTACTATTGTAAATATTCTTCATACTACTGGCCCTCCGGTAAGAAACGTTATCCTGTCAAAAATCAATTACGTGTGATTCCCTCTTTGAAGCCGCCACACCCTAAACCCGCTTACAAGCAACTACCCACCCAACGCATGGAACTGCATGACCTGGGCATCGGGAGATAGGAATTCTACACCACTGCTGCCCCTCTACTCCCTGCTGCCCCAAGGCTGGGCCTTGGTTGGCCTTGTGGGAAATCCGGCCCTGATTCTATGCCTATCGTGTTTGAGGGGAGAGAAGAGCCGTACACCCCAACACTGACGTTCTCTCAAGGCAATAAATAAGTAGTTGCCAAATAAAAAAAAATCTAAACCAGATGCTCCTAGAAATATTGGTTTGATCATGTGATGATCCACTCATGTCTCATTACTATAAGAAAAAATGTCATTGGTCATTTGATCTTTTGGCTTCCACAGTGTTTTACAAATGTGAATCGCATCCATTATGCTTTTGGTGTTATTTAGGTTACAAAAGGTAGCATATTTGATGGAAATAAACAATGTAAATCAACCCAATATAGATACTTGATTTGTGAGTGATTGCTGATGGGTGGTTCAGTCTACTTATTTGTGTCTTGAACTCCGGCAGCAATATCTTATCATTACAGTTTCTGACCTGCCTTCCCCTCTACCCATTATTATACTATTTGGCTTAAAGGCGCACACGTCGCCTATGGCCAATTTTGGGTATGCTAGTTTTTTGCGATTTCGCGCAATTTTTAAGCTTGACATGTTTGGTGTCTATTTACCCGACGTGACCCCGACGTTTATATTTTACCAAAAAAGTGGGTAATATTAGTTGTTTTATAACATAATGTTAAAAAAAACTTTTTTTTTCAAAATTGTCAGTAATTTCTCCTGAATATAGTAAAAAATAAAACCCCCAGTGGTGATTAAATACCACCAAAAGAAAGCTCTATCTGTCCCCAAAAAATGGTATAAAATTAATTTCAGTACAGCGTTGCATGACGGAATAAATGTCAGTCAAAGTACTGCAGCGCTGAATTCTGAAAAATGGCTTGGCCAGGACGGGGGTCTAAAAACTTGGTCTTCAAGTGGTTAACCACCTAGATTTTCATATCTGTATACTGACAAAGATATTATGGACACTCAGAGAACTCAGTTAGAGCACCACTTTAACATACAGTATATCAATCATTAGCACACTTCAGTTTAACTTGTGTCTAACTTTTTCTTTATTTTCTTTTTTGGAACTCACAGTTTTGTTTAGGCCCCATTCACACAGGAATCGGCCGGCATGTACAGCTTCGTGCTGCGTGCACGGCCGTATCGGGCAGCTCGCGGGAAGGACAGGTGCTGCGCGTGATAAGTACGCAGCCCCTGTCCTTCTCTATGGGACTACCCGGCCATACGTCCCCCTTTACTCACCTCAAGTGCACGTCCGTGCATGTGAGCATACTCGTACGCTGACAGGATGTATCCTGTCTGCGTCCGAGCCAGGAAACACGCACCTGCACCCGCACGGATGTGCTCTTGAGGTGAGCGTAGGGGGGTACAATTTTCACATGATGATGATCTCACAAAATGTCTAATATACTGTACATAATGACTTGTTAACACCTAGAAACTCCCAAAATGCATTTTTAATGATTATGAAACAAATACCAGTTGTTTATTCTAATAAAGGATAAACTGCTATACAGGTGCTCTTGTGTCCACGTCAGTTTTTTTTTTTAGCATTATCCTATATGGTTGCACCTTAACCTTTTTCTTCTAGGATAAGTGTGGTATCGAATTTAATTGTGTCTAAAACAATACCCCTTATGGAAGACAGCAATTTTTATATTTCAGCTACTGACCTATTGAATTTGCAAAAAAACTGACCTCCACTATGATGCCAAAGAAATATATATATATATAT